TGAAAGACAACAAAATAACAAAAAGGAAGATTCATTTTTATAAGTAGAGACAGCTTAGCTGTAGTTTGTAATACTGCAGTTGGTAGAGCTTAGGTTAAGTCTATTACAGAGCAAAAACTGGCAAAAACATGATACAGCTACAGCCCACCTCACCAGAGAGAACCCATGGATTTTGAAGTGACTGAAGCAGTTTACAAACAAAACAAAATAAAACAAAACAATACACGCACACAATCACAAGTCCCCAAAGCCTTCAGAGAAGTTCAGTGTAACGGGGCTTTATAAGTGAGTTTCACTACTTATGCACAGACCGACTACTCAAAATGTATGAGTCTTCACTTCTTCTAATGCTTTTAATTTTTCCTTCATAAAAGTAAATTAAAGTTTTAAAATATAGTAGTTGAACACAATATAATTTAAGATAAAGTGTTGACTCAGAATGTACTTTGTTAGAATAGCTTAATGTACTATTTGGATTCATACTGAATCTGTTTTGTGTACATGGCATAAACATTTGCGTATGCTTTTCTTAAAGCAAACCTTGCTGTGATCTTTGCTTTATATCCCAGACAAATCTGGTCTCTCACAGAATGTAGATATAAGAACACAAACTCTTCTATTAGTTTGAGTATAATTAGATCTATACTTTTCACTTGGAGACTTTTCTTCTGTTTTCTTTGATGGTCAGCATCTCGGGTCTTGCAATTAACAATAAGTCTGAAACTACAGAGATTTTAGAATCATGAAGTAAATATTAATATTGGCACTGCCAATATATGCTGTTACAGAAATTAAAGGTGAGAATAATGCTGGATTCCAAGTTCAGAAGTAATGGTTTCATTTATTAAAGACACACATTTTCTAATAGTGATTTTGGTATTCACAACAAGAGAGCAATGTGCTGTATTCATAATGTCTATCTAGGCTGTACTTCCATGCTTTGAAAGTTTATGCCCTTTAATGTGGGGATTCTATCTGTCTTTGATTTTGGGTTGAATTTAGCAAGTTTAGGACAGTCTGATAAATTCAAAGGAAATATTTCAATGCTTGTTCTTAATGTTTATGTTGAAACAAAGTGAAAAGTTTATCCCCTCCCCAGGCAATTAGTTTTTAGAACAGGAGACATTTTAGGATGATACAAGATCTACTGAACAAAATATACAGTACAATGAGAGATGCAATGAATTAAAGACAAGAGAAAGAAATGGAGATAGTTTTAAGAGAAATTATTTTATATAAAATAGATATTGCAACAGTTAGTCATTAAAACAGCAGTAATAAAATTATATTTATAGCTGAATAAGGAGTCTCAGTGTGATTAAGATATGGAAGTAGCTAATTGGAACACTGAGATATTAGGAAATTGAAGTGATGAAAAGTATACAAATGAAAACAAAAGTGCATAAAAATTAATGAGGAAGTGGAAATGAAGGAAAATAACATAGTGAGTAATGAATACACACATAGCTTGTAGACAAGAATACTGAGGCCATTGGATCAAGTGAATGGATATTCAATGCCTCAGAGTGGGTATTTTTTCAGAAACTTTGCGAAAGTACAGAATTGCTTGATTTTATTGCTGTAGAGAATGCTGATTTCTTCTTTACATAATTTATTATGTTTTTTCTACAAGGTATGTTTGCTGTCAGGGGAGGGAAAGTTGCAAGGCTTTTATTAGCCTGTCCACAGCCTGTGATGTCCCAGGTATTTCCACGATGCAGCTGCTAAAGGAAGCAGCCCTACCCTGCTCTCACCCACCAGGGAGACTCTGTGTCCCCCTGTTGTGGTGGCACAAATGCTATGTGCTGAAGAACCAGGCTAGAATTTGTCTGAATTTAAACAGCCTTTGCTTTTAGTGGGGGAGGTGGGACTGACAGCATTGTTTTGTTGGGCTGTCTTTTAGTCTGACTAGTTCTCTGATGCAGCTTATTGAGGGGAGGAGGGTGCATTGTCCCATAAATATTTTTGCGGGGACAAGGAAGGTGGCAGCACAAGTTCTAGAACAGGCAGCTAGCTGTGGGAGAAGGTAGCACTGCTTTTGTCATACACAATGTAAAATAGCTTTGGAAACTGTCCTTAATTTCATTTTCAAGTTCCATTTACCTCCTCTGATTGCAAATTAGAGCTTTCTGTGTACTTTTATGACTGGCACCTGCCTCATTCTGTGCAACTCAGATCTCCATTGCCACCAAACCATATATTTCCAGTGCATGGAATTGACTGCGTGTTGTGGGACCAGTTCAGGTAGATTCAAATATTCCTTGAACAACCTGCTGGCCAGCAAGAATGTGACAAATGCTGATGTCATATGCCTGATGTCTCACAATACTGAACATGGCCATGACCAAGTGCTATGATTAGTTATTGGGATCCCAAGGAAGAAATAAGAATAAATAATTTAGAGTATGTAAGCCAAGGTTGATAACTATGGTACTCTCCAGAATGGATCCAAGTACCTACCTGTACATCAAACTAGATGCAGTCATTGATAGATATTATCTTTGAGCCTCTGTGCTCTGACGATAAAAACAGGTTAGTTTTTATGATAGTATTACTTCTCATTTCAGGTTCATCCTTCCAGGTAACTAGATGTTTCCACTTAACTGTTATTCTGTTTTATACAGAAATGTCTTATTCTCTTCAATATATGTAGGTGGAAAGGCTAAAAAAAAAAAAATACTTTCTTACTGCATGCTGGGCTAAACATATGAAGTCTCAGTCATTTCTACTTCTTGAACTTAATGCAAGAAAGCAAGGAATTTAGATTTATACGGAACTGTGTCTTTAGTTTTAAAAGATTCTTTCTTTCAGTTGAGAACTGTAGCTTTTATCATGACCAACATTTTGTTGTCCAGAAGGTAAGACTATAGTATCTGTCAAAATCTGTGTTTTAAATTTAGAGAGTATAGAAAGTTGTTTTCTAGCAGATACCATTGCAATTTCTGGAAACTGTCCAACACAAAAACAACTTGAATGTGGTCACATGGCTGAGAGTAAACAGCATCATAAATTCTGTACACCTCCACTTTCTAGTTACTCTGTTATACTTCAAGTAATCACAATGCTGTGTATTTTCTTTTGAGTGGGAGAGAAAATTGAGTATTCTCTAGCAATATAAATAAAGCCAGAAACTGTACACACAACAAAGGGAGAGGGTGAAATAAACCACTATAGTAGGTGTCTTGACTATCTTTCTTGCTAATTGTATGGTATTAGATCGGAAGGGACATCAAGAGGTTTTTTACTGCCATTCTCTTTGCTAAAATAGGATGAATAGATCCACATAATTTCAGAGTGACTCTCATCCAGCATTCTCTTAGAGGGACTATACAGCTATCGCATATAGTTCTTTTGATTAGCCATTAGAATTGGGATTTTTTTCCTCTAATATTCAGCTTTGGGCTTCCTTACTATAACTTAAACCTACTGCTTATTCACTGTGGTTATGAAGAACATATCACTGAATTCCTCTCTACACCAGTCTTTTATTTTTTCTGATGACGGCTATAATGTTCTCTCATCTTTTTGTCTCTGTCTTTAGGCAAATTACTGCAAGTCAGTTATTCTTTTGGTATAGGCAAGTATTGATTATTTCTAAGTATTTTTGTCGCTAGCACTCATGCCATTTAAACTGTCTTCTGTTTCAGAGGTAACCTCTACCTCAATAAATTTATCATGTAGAAGTTTAAGGAAAAGCAAAAAAAACTAAATTTTAAATGTAATGTATAAATAAATTATGGAAGTCTTTCCAGTGGACATTGCGGAAGCCAAATTATATATGGTTTCCAAAAAAGGATTAAACACACCCCTTATGGAAGATAGTTCCAGATGAAAATAATTTTCCAAATGCACCCTCTAATACAAGAGTTCTGAAATTAGTCATTATACCTTGGAAGGAAGAACAGGGAAAAAAGGTTCATTCTTTACTTGTCTTATTTCTTGTATTCTCTCTCTAGGCATCTGCTACAGGATATTTCAGTGGTGCTCACCTTTCATTTCATTGTTTCATCTAAAATAAGCTTAGTATAGAGTGTTTTGCATATGCATTTTATAAATTTGTTGGCTTATTATTTCTGATAAAAGTCATAAAAGGATTATAGGCCTCTTATCTCCTACCAGATTAATTGTGAGCTAAAACAGCAAAGGTTAAGAGGCTTGCCATTTCGTTTTTGCTCCTTGCAAATGGCTGTCTGAGACTCTCTAAAAACATTTATCCTTCATCTTGTTCATTAGTTGTTGACCTATACCTTGTAATACAAGTTTCACTCCTTTTTAAGATAGAGGAGAATACATTTTTTAATTACGAAGCTAGTCTCATTCTTTTCAGTGAGGAAGGAAGTTTCTTGAACCTTTGTTACTTCTTGATTTCTCTTATGTTTTCAGGCAGGAAGTTCCAATTTTCAATTATTCAAAGTAAAAATATTTCATACCTTTTTTTTTTTTCCCTGTCATCCATTTTTTTTTTTTTTTTTAATTAAGAAATTTGGCTGAGATTTGTTTTTTTTGGGGGGGAAAGCTAATTTATTCTTTATGAAGCGGATACCATTTGTGGCTTGGTGGATAGTCAATTAATTTTATACTGGTGTTAATATCTATCCCTTTTTCCGTTTCTATTTTCTGACTCATTTTGTAATTTTTGAGTGCTGCTTATCTTCACTGGGCTTTCAGTGCCGTGACACAAACATAGAACATTATTCTACTTGTATCTGCTTTGGAAAAAGATTGTGTATGTTGATCTGTAATGTTGTCCTTCTCAGAGTAGGTTATCACAGTTGTTTTCTTTGTGGTCTGCAGATAGGAACAAGTGAATAACTTCAGCTGGAGCAGATTGCCAGTTATGTGATAGTATTTTATAATCAACATGCGGTTTTCTCATGTACTAATTGCTAGTTCACTTTAAAATGAAAGCAAGATTGGTTTTTGATTTGTGAAGTGTTCCTATGCACATACCTTCAAGAAGTGAAAGAGAGCTGTCATTAGGACTGTGGTACCAGTGCCTCTCGTAGGCTTTAACTGCACTCACCTGCCCCACCTGCAGCCTCCCCATGTCCCTGCCCAGCTTGGGGCACTCTTGTTTCAGGGTGTGACCCATAGGCTCACTCCCTGCCTTGACTGTGTCTCATCACCATGAACTTGCCAGATGAGCTGGGCTCTTGGTGACACATGCTCTGCTCTTCTCACACAGGTACTGTGTCACTGGGCTCTTGCTGGCTCCTGCAGTGGGAAGGCAGAGAGCAGCCAACCCTGGCAATGTTGGCCTTTGAGCATTTGGATAACTGGTGTGTGTTTACGTTTTTGGTGCTGTTACCTGTTACATGCTTACATGTTTTTGAGTTCTCTGGCTCTGCACTTCTGTGCTTTGGACCTTCTCTTAGTATTTGAAACATGTTCTGAAGTTTGTTTAATTATTTGAAATGTCTCGAAGGAACTATTTTGAAAAGAAATGGATTTTATTTGGTAAAGTACTAAGTGAGGTGTACTTTCTTGTTTCTTACACCAGTGGAGAAAGATACTAGTTAAAATGCAATAACCCAGATTATAATTATAGCATGGAAAATAAAAGAATAATGTAAGATAGTGTCTCTCACCTGTACTTATAGATTTATAAAATTGCTAGAGAAGGTAATAATACTGAAGTGAAATGCTACAGATCTGAGTTCTGACTCAAAAAGTCAGAACTACTGCCCCATCAAGAATCTTCCTTAAGAAATAAGCAGACTGCTTCAAAAAGCCTGACGAACATATACTTGTCTGAAAATACTTCTAAAATAGCAGCCTTCTTACATTAGGAAAGATTTTGAAACAGAAACAGTGTAACAAAAACAGTGTTTTGATTGCTTATACAGGGTGGATTAAGCTCACTTAAATCAGTCAAATTAGAAAATATTAATATTTTTCTGAATTGTTGCAAGATACTTTTTACTTTGTTTTAATGACATTCTCAAGCTTCAAAGTTTTGCTGCCACTGCTCTGAAATACACTGTGACAAGTGTTGACAGATTTGGTAATATTTTTTTCTAATACTGGTGAGTGACTTAGCTTATTGTTGAACATTTGGAGGGGGAGGGGGCGGAGCTTTTCTCTGGGATGGAAATAAAACATGAGCAAAGGCCACACAGGACAGTGGAATGCAGAGAATGATTAAAAATTATCTACATGACTATGAAGATCCAGTGAAAGTTCAGGAACTGCTGTTCATGAGCTATTTTTCTTCGTTGCCAGTTTAATTCTGGTGAAAAAAAAAAAAACAAAAACAAAAACACTTGTTTTCAAGATGCTGAGTTTAAATTAGTTGAAATTGTGGACCCTGTAGAGCAGCAGCAAGAATTTGTTCTTTACTAATGATGATTTTTATCTAATCATTATCCCTCCAGTTCCTTTGTTGTGGAAAGGTGTTAGAGGAGAGGGACTGTAATAATAAAAGTTAAGGATGGAATTATCATATATATATGATATATATATATCATATATATATATCATATATATATATGATATATCATATATATATATGATAATTCCATATATGTATATATATATATATATATATATATATATATATATATATTATTTGATGGACAAATTAAAACTAAGAATATATAACTAGTAACAGATTGACTTTTTATGGAAGTCTAATCTTTGGTATTTGAAAGATATTTGCAAAAACATCGCAGGATTACCTACCATTTTTGTACCCTAACAAATCAAAAAGTCATTTTGATTTGTCCCTCGTACCATGTTCTTGCATGATTTACACCGTATTGAATCTTAGAAAATATTTTACTTATTCCTGTAACTACAAAATAAAGCCACTAGACAAATAGTAATGTCAGAAAGCCACAAGAACAAAATAATTCTTATGCATGCTTTACATTTTGATTAAACTACTGGATAGCCTGTTGGCTAATGAAAAAAGAAAAAGTCAAAAACCTGGAAGCTGTTCAACCTGAGAAAAAAAAAAAAAAATGGTAACTTCAGATGCTAGCGTAGTTATGTTAATACAAACTGCTGCCAATTTCAGTTCATAATTATATGGTAGATTAACAACTGAGTTGTTACAGTTTATGTTCTTCAGTTGTCCCTGATGGAGTAGCATGCATCTTTAAAGGGGAAAATGTGGACAGCTGAGGATAATAATGCTTAAATATTTTAGATTAATCTACTTTGAATTGTGAGTCAACTTCCTGGAATTATAGTTAATATTTTTTCAGTGGCCTTCACTTTGTCTTTATATTATTTTGCTGACCTACCTTCATTTCAAAAAGGGAATATTGTCCCTCTTCTACTGAACAAAAAGGTAATGGTGAGCTGGCTGTTGAATTTTATAATGTGGTTTTCTTGTTAATAAATCCTGAGAGTGCAGATTCATGGAAGTGATTGAAGAGGAGGTAGCTAAGAACTTGCAGTTTGTAATCATTGTGTTCTTACACTGCATTGCACCTTACTGTCTGTTTACAAAGGCCTCGAGCTTCGCTGAGGTTTGATCCAGCCATTAATGACCAAGTTAAAAATGCGCTTATGACAATGGCTGGTCACGTGGTATTTGTTTGTTTTGAGGTGTAAAACATCTCTGAATGGGTTAGAAATTGCCTTTGACTTTCTAGTATAATTTTCTTTCTTTCAATAGATACCATCTTCCCTAGCAGAAGCGTTTTCCTTGTCTGTCTGTTACCAGTCCATTCCCCGCCCTTTCCCTTCCCCCCTGCTGTTTTCCTGGTTTCCCCTGGAAATGAAGGGATCTAATACTTTCTTAATTATGTAACTTGGGCATTAACAAGTTATCATTTTGTTTCTATATATGTATATATATATATATATATCTATGGGATATATGATACCATGTGGAGAAAATTCTGCACAGTGAATACAATGCAACAAAATAACATAACTATTATAAAAATGTATATTTTAAAATGATTTGAGTCCTTTGCCAAATATGCAAGTTACCAAGCCTTTTTATGAGCCAGATATCATTCATTGCTCTCCACAGTAAGTTTTATATATAACAGTGGAAATAAGTAGCTACAGGCAAGAACTTTTTGAGTATATATTTGCTAGTTTTCTCACTGTAAGGGAATTCATCAGATTTGCATACTTTTTATTTTTCATGACCTTTATTGCCTTTTATAAAGTTTTTAAATATCTTGAGCACAGCAGCAACTTTTCTCAATTGTTTGTATGCTCAACTCATTTACACTTGTTAAGTGAAAGTAGCATTCCTAGAGGAAAAAAAAAAAGAATGGATGTTTCTTAATGTGAATATGGGAAGTTGTATTTTCTGTTTTTTTGAAGATAATAAAAATTAAAATAATTAAATGCAAAAGAGAACAAAATTAATGATAGTTGAAATTATGTAGTGCAGTGTTCATTTCTTAAAAACTTTCAATGAAGACAAAAGTTGAAAATTATTTTGGAAAGCAAAATCAGAGTTTAAACTGTACAAGAGCCAACTATGTGGTCATTTACACTTACTGAACAAGCATGCAGGCAAACAACACATGTTTAAGAAGATGCAAGAAGAATTTGAAAGGCGTTCAGTTAAATCGAACAAATAGCCTTAGATGAAGACTCCAGCAGAGAACAAATTAAAATTGGCCCAGAATGTGAGTGGTAGTTTTGGTCTAATCTAGTAGTGTGAATTTAATATCAATAAATTTGCTTCACTGAAAAAAGATGATGGCATAGTTCCTGTGGATTCCATCATACAATAGCTCTTTGGATATTGTTGCTATAGAGTATTTGATGGTAAAAAATGATTGAAACAGTGTTTAGCATATGCAAATATAGCATATATTGCCAAAGTCAGTCAGCTTTGGCATCATAAAGCAAAAATAATATTTCACTGTAATTTATAGTAATTTCTTTTTTTTTTTTTCAAATGTATGAGGTTTTTAGAACTGTATGAAACAATTCATGATTAAAATGCAAACCAAGGCATATTTCTCCATTTGTTTTTTCACCAGTGAATTCACTGGACTTTCCTCATCATGGAGTTTGTTACAACATGTTCTGTAGGTAAAGGCTTCTTTTAATAATCCTTGCATGCAACAATTTTTCCCATGATCAGTGATAATATGAGAATACACAGACACAATAAATACACCTGGTTTATATAACTCAGTAATGTGAAATTGTTTATAAAGCATGGTGATTCTACGAGACCTGTCTCTGTATGAATTTACTTATTTTTTCTAAGGTACTGAACTGGACCCTTAATTTCTTCAGTGGTATGACTCCTTTTGTTGTTGAGTTTATGTTGGCTGAGATTATAGTACTATTTTATGGAAAGAATTTTGTCTTTCACATTCATAGTTGCAGAATTATTATTATTATTATTATTGTTTTTGAATAGAAATTAAATTCTGCTTAGCTTTTCTTTTTAACTCTTGAACACAGTGCTAATATAAAACTATGTATTTAGTAGTGTTTACTTATTACTTATTTATGAAAACATGCCAGGGGCTAATAAATATTTTTAAAAGGGCTTTTGGTCACTGTATGTTCTTGAATGGTGCTCCTTGTGCTATAAAAAGATTCAAATTAAAAGCATCCTTTCTAAGTTATAAAATTGTCAGAATAAGAACATTCTTATAGTTATTGCTGAACTCTCTACCTGATATCTTTATATGTTTATTTTTCCATGTAGGCAAAACTGTACCTTTTTTTTTTTTAAAAAATTATTATTATTCTCTCTTTCTGGAGAACGATTGAATTCTATTTACTAATATTTTGCAAACATACTGATTAACACATCCTACCTTAATTGTTAAATGTCTGACATTAACAGGAAACTAAAAATCACTTTCAGATTGTATTTTCTTTTGCAGTGGAGCTTCATCCTTCTCATCCTTTTCTGAGCACTGTCCCCGCAGGGTGGTAGGGCACAAAGTATTTTGGGTGTTCCAGCTTTCAGCTTGATTTCTTCATTGAGGCTACAAATGTGAACAAAAAATAATTGGTATTTGGATTGTGTTTATTTTTTATTTAAAAAAAAAAAAAGTAAACTGTTAAAATTTCTTAGGAAATAATCATGTTTATATGTAGGGGTGAATTTCCTCCAACCTTCCTTTTTCTAGAACCATTGGACTAAATATGTCCTACCCTAGAAAAGAATCAACTGTTATTGCTAGCATTTGCCAATCTGTTTTTAGCTGTCAATTTTGAATATTTGTTTTCTGCGGGTAGTCT